TCTACAGATTACTTGTTCACCATAACAAAGACAGTTTTAATGTTGTCAGCTAATCAACTGTTGATCACTCAAACATGCTTAACAGAAATTATACTTGTTCACACTTGTTTGTTTTCTGATTTTAATACTCTCTGTCCCAACTGTATTAAGTGAAAAATTAACAACAGATTATATTCAATCCAGTCATCTTTTGTTCTCCTTTTCGTCCTTACCATTTTCAGGCTGGATTTCTGTCCTTGCTGAGATGATGCAGTCTCCTCATGTCATGCAGGCGTCTCACGCAGCCCGCGCTTTGGCCAACCTGGATAGGGAGACAGTGAAAGAGAAATACCAAGATGGCGTTTACATCCTCCACCCACAAACACGTGGCAAGTAGGAAAATGATTGATTATATTGTTACATATTTTTTATGATACATTAGTTTCATTTTTTACTTTCTGTGTAAGCCAACACTCATCTTTGACAATCTGTTCCAGCCAGCCAATCAAAGCAGATGTGCTTTTCATCCATGGCATTCTTGGGGCAGCTTTTAAGACGTGGAGGCAGAAGGACCGCAACATGTTGGAAGAGGAGAAGGAGGAAGAAAGCAGGGATGACTACACAGAGTGTTGGCCAAAGGTGAAAAATCAACCTTATTACTGTAAAGCATTGTGGGTCCCCATAAAGTGTCTTTCCATGTTTTTCCTCCTACAATTAAATTAAATATTTGGAACAACTACGGATTGGTCATTCTGGCTAAAGGGGAGACTCAACAGTGTTTGGATTCTCCAGTGAAATGTGAGGTCTCACAAAGATAAATATAATCAATCTTGTAGAGATTAATCGTCTCTCACTATTGTTCTTCCGTGTTATTGTGTTCTCTTGTGTTAACAGTCATGGTTGGCTGCTGACTGTCCAAATCTAAGAGTACTGTCAGTGGAGTATGACAGTCACCTCAGTGACTGGATGGCCAAGTGTCCCGTAGAGAATCAGAGGTGAGCAATCTGTTATTGTCTCATGTCTCCACTGGTGTTTGATTTTAGGGTTGTGCAAGAATAGGATAATTATGTTTTCTCTAATTTAATTCTCTAAAATAATTTTCTTAAAATGACAGTTCATTCCAAAAATAAATAAATAAAACATATTTTCCTCTTACCTGCAGAGCTATTTATCAATCTAGATTATTTTGGTGTAAATTGGTGAGTGTTAAAAATATCAGCTATAGAGATGTCTGCCTTTTCTTGAATACAATGGACCTAGAGGGCACTCAGTTTGTGGTGGTCAAAGTGCCAAAAAAATTGTTTGAAAAACTCAACAGCATTGTGTCTTTCCAGAAGTCATCACTCATTTACTCAAGATAATCTACAGATCTTGTTGCTGACAGTTTCACATAGAAACTATTTTTTTTCCTACCGAACTACATCCACTATCCATATTACTGCCTACATCTACTCACGGTGAGAGGCTTGAGCTTGTGACCGTACGCAGTGTAAACATGAATGGCAGGTGAACTGTACCGTTAGCTGGCTCACTGGTGTTAAGTGAGCTTGCAGTAGATACACGCTTCTTTCTGCACGGTTATATTGGCAGGTGTAGTTCAATGAAGAGAAAATTGTTCCTACATGGAACTGCTCACAATTAGTTCAGTGGATAACCTTGACAGTTACAATACTAATAATCTATTTTGCACAATTCATCCAACATTATCACTACTTAATGCTAATCAAGCTACAGTTCTTAGTGAAATTCAATGTTTAATCCTCCCAAATGATTCAGTATCTGCTATGCACAGTTCCAACAGACTTTCAATGAGTGACTGTTAGTATTTCTTGCTTTGCTTTGGCCTCTTCAGGAAGTCCTTGGCCTACAGAAGTCAAGAGCTGCTAAAGAAGTTAAAGCTGGCAGGAGTCGGAGAGAGGCCTGTGGTCTGGGTAGCCCACAGTATGGGAGGTATTTTCTAAAAACTTTCCTTCCACTTTTCCATGTCAGATTTTTACTCGAATCCCTTTGACGCAACATTAAAAACAAATGGCTTGGTGTTTTACACCTGTATGTGACTGTATTTGATTTAAAAGTTGTGCTTACTGTGTGTCTGTATCCTCTTGTGTTTGATTTTTGCATCAGGATTGCTTGTGAAGAAAATGCTGCTGGATGCCTCAGAGGACCCAGATATGCATGGACTGTTAAATAACACCAAGGGCATTATGTTCTACAGTGTTCCTCACCATGGCACCTTTATGGCAGAGTACTCAGTCAATGTCAGATATCTCCTCTTTCCGTCAATAGAAGTCAGAGAACTTTGTAAAGGTAAGTGAATAAAATAAATTTTGAGCTCCAAGACTGTTTATGTTTCAAAGATATCGTTCAGTATTTAATGTGATTGGTTGTCCATGTGTTCTTAAGACTCACCAGCACTGCGCAACCTGAATGAGAACTTCCTGAACATGGCCAAAGAAAAGGAATTCAAGGTGCTGAGCTTTGCAGAGAAGCTGCCAACAAACATTGGTCCCATGATCAAGATACTGGTGGTACCAACGCAGTCAGCAAGTATGTAACACAAATGCAGCAATAGGACATGTGTATCTGTGATGTATATCTTAAATATGAATTCATGAGCAAAACAAACACATATCTTGAAAGTGATATGTCTTATTGTTCTTTGACCTCTTACCTTGAGCCTGCTCTGGTTTGGTTTCAGATCTTGGCATTGGGGAGCTTATCGAGGTGGATGTAGATCATCTCAACATCTGCAAGCCAGAGAAGAAGGAATCATTTCTGTACAAGCGCAGCCTCCAGTTCATCATGGAAGCTCTGCAGAGCTACATCAGCCACTGACTGAAACACATGAACAGAAACACACTGATAAAACCTACTTTTTACTTGAAAGGGGGATCGCACTGATAACCCCCACCCCCAAAACCAAATGGAAACATAACTGCCTCTCCTCATTGCACATTAACATAAACATCCACTAATGTGATCATAGTATAGTTAGGAAAACAAATATATTTTACACACTGATTTCTGTCAAGAATTGTCAGTTGTGAGGAAAAGAACATTGCTTACTTTGTTGTCCTAGCCATCCTCTTGGATTGGTCTCTCTCATGAGTGAGTTGAGATTTTAATTATTTTAGATTTTACTATCTGACACTTTTTTCCATTTCAAGTTTGACTTACCAGTTTAACATAGGGCATATAATGCTCAGACATGATTTATTTAAAGATGCACTGATATGTCTTTGCCACTCCTGCTCCTCAGTATTTTTGACCAGAGTTGTTTAAGATTTTATTTTTTAAATTAATGTATTTTACTCTAACCCAGTACAACAACCATATCGTCTGCCAAAACAGATTCCTTCCTGAACTTAAACCCAAGTGGACCTGTATTAATATTAGTTCAGGTTGCTATATTTATTTATTTGTAGGGGACTAATCGAGCAATTGGTTTTGAATCTCCGTGTGTTTGTAGTCCGAACTGCCACTACAACGCTGACAATGAATAAATGTATGAAGCTGGAGTGAGTCAAACTTGTCTATGCTCTGCATCATTTTCATCTCAAATACTCTCTGCAATGCATATCCTCTCTAAATGTTTTTTAACATTAATTGATTCGTTAACTATGTCATTTGATGCAATATAACAGTGATAGTCAACTTGTTGCCCATGAGTCAAACAGTCCTTGATAAGGTGCTGCGCAGCGATACTGTTGGTGGATGTAGTTCAGTGACCTGCCGACCATTTTCTAATTTGCAATGACAGTAAATTGATTACCGATTACCCAGGGTCCCCATGGGAGGGGGTCTCAAAAAGCCTGGAATGAAAAGTTTGGTTTTGTATGCACTTTTATTTCTAAACAACTAGTGCCATAACTAAATTCAAATTGGTGGAATAAACTGGTTGTAAGACTGAACTTTCTATTTGAAAAAAAAAAAAAAAGAAAAAAAAATAGCAGATGCTCCCTGAGGCACCTTTCACCCCTTAAAAGCGCAAAATGGTTTATTCTGCCCCTATAAAATTCATCTCTAACACAGCTAGAGCAAAGTGAGTGACTGCTTCTGCTGCTGGAGCTCCAACATACACATTTATGTCTTTCCCTAAGAGAGGGAAATCAGGGTCATAAAAAGAAAAGAAATGTAAGGAAAGCAAAGCAAATGGATTTTGTAAAAGAACATTTCAAAAGATGCGTGAGAGAGACATGGATCAAGAGAAAAACGGCAGGGGGCCCACAGAAAATGCTTCTGCATAGGGCCATGAATTTGGTGCTATGTCCCTGCTGATAAATGTTATTAATGTTTGTTCATTAAGTGGCTCCTAGCCTTCTGTCACTTAGCAAAAGAGGCCCCCAGGCAAAGCAAGTTGAGTATTCCTCCATTAGACTATTGTGGAAAATGTTGTAAATCACTGAGCAAGATTGCTTCATGATAAAATTGGACGTTTATATATTTCTCTGCAACCAATGTGATGATGTACCTTTATCTGTCTAATATATAATTTACTGCAAAACGCAGACATTCCCAACTGTTTATTTATTAACAGCTTTACGATGGATGTTGAAAACTTGACTCTATCATATTATCTATCCACATAACTCACTGCAACATTTACCTGATTCATTGTTGATAAATAATGTTAATATTTATGAATGATGTTGTACCAAATGCACAGCCAGACAAACATTTAGATGGTTTGTGAGTGTGAAGGAGTGCAAACAGTCCAACATGTTGTGTTCTCTTGTGACAAATACAGACATGAAAGGTGACAGTTATTTAGGGAGCTCTCAAGTCTGGGTCTACCAGTATTCAAGTGGAGTTTCTACTTATTGGTAAAAAACAAAACAAAAAAAAAACTGATATTTCTCCAAGCTTCTGCACCTTGTTTAAAAAATACAGGGTGAATAGTAAACTCGTGCCTGTGGAGGGCAGCATAACGCTTTATTAGCATACAGTCTGCCTCATTAGAAGAAGAAATGCGCATCTCTGGTATCGTGGAAGATTGTCCCCGGTGCACACCGTACGTCATCTCAGTTCCACAATACTCTGAAACGTTAGCACCATTAGCAGGAAACAATTGAAGCTATCGGGGAGAGGAAAGTCTGTCTCTCGTCCTGCTCAGCTCCTTCGCTTGACTATAGCTTGGTATAAAAATATGAATTGGCGGCGTGTTAATATTTTAAAATGGCAGTACTTCGCAGATTATCTCCAGAGTTACGTACTTTTGAACTAATGATATCGCTAACAAGCTAACAAGGCTCAAATAAAATGCTAACGTTAGCAGTTGTATTAGCGTTGCTTAGCCCAACTGTTTTTGTTTTCTCTGAAGTACGTTAACGTTAACTGAGACCGAGACACAAACTCTTCAACTTCTAACATTTTCTTCTCACTTCTCAAACTTTGTTTTTTTTTATTGATTTACTGTCCTGAGTTAACCTTTAGCCGCGTTAGCTTCATGTTACCGATTAGGAAAGTAACGTAACACATTTTGTTACTGCAGGTTTGAGCATTTTAATTGGCACGGACTGCTGACTTCTCTACAACTGTCAATATGGTCAACGTACACAAAGGTGTCCTTGTTGAATGGTAAGTAAAACTTTGAGACAAATACATAACAAGTATATGTATTACCTAATTCCGTTATAACTCACATGTGGGTATGATGTAATGACTTAAGATGTTTCCCCTTGCTCCCCTCTGCTCTCTGAACCAGTGATCCTGCCATGAAACAGTTCCTCCTCTACCTGGACGAAAAAATGGCCCTAGGAAAGAAGTTCATCCTCAAGGACCTTGACGACACACACGTCTTTATCCTGGCAGAGGTGGTTCAAACCCTGCAAGAGAGAGTTGGCGAGTTAATGGACCAAAATTCATTCCCTATCACACAGAAATAACACTCAACTATTTCAATGAACTTTTTTCCTTGGGACTTAGGTTAGTTTAAGAGTTTGTCTTTAAACAAACATGGTTTGCAATGTTTTGACTGTAGACTGTAATGGAGCAGTTGCTCATTTTTTGTTAAAATAATGTAAATTAAAAAAATGTCATTTTTTTAGTTCTTGCTATCCATTAATTCTGTCCATTGCGAAAGTTGTTGAGTATATTGAATTGTTTGTGGGTTGGTTTAAAGTGCTGGCTTGAGTTGCCATTTTTACATCTGCGTATGTTTTTTTTTTTAATGGAGGGCTGATGAAAGCATAGATGATCAGAGATCCAAAATAAAGAGCTTTGATGAGACAAACATGCATAGAGCTTCAGAGTTGGGTGTAATCCATCAATTAATTTGGCAAACAATAATGGCCTTTCCACATTTAACCCCAAAGCAACTGGGTTTAGGACTGAATTTTAGAAATGTTGACATCATGAGTTCCAATTCATGATTTGATTACACACCAAGAAAACATTAAATTATTTTCCCTTCATATTATAAAAGATCATTTCACCAATCATTTTGTACTGTACATTCTACATACATGATGATGATGATGTAAACATAATTTCAAAGAACTTCACACTGCCAGGAAAATACAGTATTTCTGAAGGAAAAACACTTAATTATTTGCCTGAAACAGTCACATGAAAGGATACTGTCTCTCAAGAATGTTGCCTGGTACTGCTGCTATGAAGCTCATCCATGTTACGTTGTGTAAAACATGTTGATGGTCCTCTACATGACACATCAACTGTCTTATTTGTATACTTGGGGTTTCCAAAGTACCTGGAGGTGCCTAGTGATTTTCACAGTTAAAGAGGGGTGCACCATTCTTGGAAGTACTGCAATACCAAGGTGAGGGGTGGCATGGATGGAGCAAGTCCCAAATCCATCTCCAAGTTCCAAAAAGTCACTTTAATTCATGAACCGATAGAATTGATTTTTTTTAAATATAAAATGTATTAAAAATACTACAAAATAAAGTACAGCCCAGGATGCAATTCCTGTCACAAAGATATGCCATAATGCACAGTGCAAACAATAGAACAGTCGAGTGCATCAACACTGGTAATCCTGCCTTGTTTGCAGTCTACCTTTAGTTATCCAAGGAGGCATGGAGACATCTGCAGAGAATCACAATGTCCACCCTGCTGCAGTGCCAGCCTTGTGATAGCTGAGGGTCTAATGGATACTGCTGCGTTCAAATGAAACTTGTGAGCTCGTGTTTACAACATGGGAAGTTGTGAACACAATCTTGTGAAGTCTGAGCTCTCAGAATTGTTCATCTATGAAGTTGTAAATACCACAAAAGGGGCATTCATACTGACTCTTTTCGTTACCAGGGAATTGGATTTTTTTCCCCTTTTCAATATCTGTGTCTTCCACTTGAAAAGCTTGTCACAATACTGCCTAGCCATCTATCTCCTTCCTATCCTCACATGAATCACCACTGTCTTTCTTCAACCACTGTATTACCCTCCTTTTTCCTCAATGACAAGAAATGTGCATTGCATTTCTTAGTTTATCTCTCTGCAATTAAAAATCAAACGTTTGGGCCCTCTGTTCAAACATTTCCCGTTGGTTTTTTTTCTGTAACACAATTAAAATGTCTATTTTTGTTAAGGATGTGCAAATGAAGCCTTATGAGGCTTTGGGGCTTTTTTTTTCTATTTGTGCCAATAAGTTTTGAAGCTTAGGGTCTTCAAACACAGCCGACACAGTGACATCTGGTGGTAGACTGGTTGACTGTAGACTCCCAGCTGAATCATAGAATTCAACTGTAGACTACAAATCACATACCAACATGCAAATTTTAAGTAAGTGTAGCAATTTTACCTGACACCAGTGACCGGACAGTATTTCTGCTGTGTCCTTTATTTACCCTGCTTTTTTGTGATGAATTTACTTTGTATCAGGAACAAAAATTAACAAGGGGAAATGTGAAATACTGTGCCTCAACTGGAGGGAACCAGTAGAACACCTCGGCCTCATACAAAAAAATACAACAATCAAAGTCTTAAGAGTACCTATCGGAAAAGACATGGAAAAAAACAATTGGGAGTCAAAATTACCCAAAATTAGAGGAAAGCTCCTCCAGTGGCAGGGCAGAGACTTATCCATGACTGGGAAAGTCCTTGTTATAATGGCCGAAATCCTTCCCTTTCTGACAAATTTGGCAGCAACATTCCAAATCCCCCATGGTTTTATGAAAACACTGAGGAAAATCATCTTTCAGGTCATGTGGGGAGGGCAACACGAAAAACTAAAACATGAGAATGTACAGGCCATTAGAGAAAGGAGGCAAAGGTTTCCCAGACATGGAAAGTAAAGTGAAGGCTATGTTTGTGACCCCAATTATTAATGCATACCTGAAGCCACAGGCAGGCCCGAGTTAGGTTCATTTTGTCATGTTTTGAGTGGGGTGGGATGTGCTTAGAGCATAGGAGAAAAGGCCACCCCAAACCATACAAAATGAACAAACCTGGCCAAAAATTTACAGTGTAGTTTTTTCATGTCTAAAAAATTGTGCATGTCAACTTCAATTGGACAAATTACAAGAGCAGGCATTGAACAGGTTCTGTCTCCACTGCACTCAAGGTTAACTCCCATGGGCACACTGACTGAAGAAGATTCAGAAACAATTTAGTCCAATGTAAACATCCCCATATTGTTAAAAAAGCACAGCACATTTGGCTTGGCAGATTGTCCACCAGTAGAGGGGTGCTCACAAGGAGCAGAGTGCAGCAGAGAGCCAGTTCCCTTTTCAGACCACCACAAACTGGATTGCTCAGTAGAAATCCATGGTTCAATTAGGTCTGGTCCAGACACTTGGAAACTCAACACAAGTTTATTAGACAACCCACAGGTGGTGAAATACAGGGACAAACTTAATCAGTGGTTCACATTGCAACCTTTGTTTGACTCATTGGGAGAAGGGTGGGAGGATGTCAAACATGAAACAAGAGCTTTCTTCATGGCCGGAGGTAAAAAGGCAGCTGCAAAAAACGAGCCCTCCAAAAGAGACTGCAAGCTAAGTTGCAGCATTACTATCTCCATTTACTGTCAGGTTTTGATGTGAATGAAGATATTGTAAAATTAAAAAAAGACATGTCCAGATTGTATGAGAAGAGTAGAAGGGTGCTCACGAGGAGCAGAGTGCAGCACCTAAAAGAAAATGAGAAGTGAAGCCGCTATTTTTTTTAATAAATTGGCCAAGTCCAGGCACTGAATTGAAGCTGTTTTAGACAGAGACAAAAAAGAGGTGAGTGATCCTCAAGGCATACTCGGGGTTGTCAAGTCATTCTACAGTGACCTCTATCAAGACAAATCCATATCCGAACAGTCAATCAGTTACTTTTTGTCCTATGTAACAACAAAACTTCATAATACAGACAGAGACCTCCCGGGGAGAGACTTGACAACTGATGAGATAAACAAGGCCATGCAGAGTAATAAATCTCCTGGCCTTGATGGCCTGCCCAAAGAGTATTGCAGCACTTGTTGGGACCAGTTTAAAGATCCATTGTTGCACGTGTTTAAAGAGTTTTTCAAGAGGTTCCAAGTGCCTGTACCAGACCTAATTGAGCCATGGATTTCTACTGAGCAATCCAGTTTGTGGTGGGATGAGAAGGGGACTAGCTCTATTGAACAGGTAAGTGGTTCACAGTGTTTACAGTCCTTGATAATGTTTTGAAGTGTATAAGAACTGGCATCCAGTCCTTAGATGACACTGGGCCACTGTTGGGACAAGTCAGCAAAGGCTGGTCAGCTGGGAGGTCCTCCTGGGAATGCTGTATCTCCTGGGGGCCTGGAGTTGCTGGTCTAGGTGTTTCTGGGTGGTGATCTGTGGGGCTGGAAAGCCTGCTGTTCCAGGTTGCTCTGGGATGTCGCCTTGATGGGTTGAACCCTGCTGGTCTGCCTCGCTGGTGGATTCCTGATAGGCTTGAGGTACCTCTTATGGTGAAGGCTCCTGATGGTCAAACCCTACGTTTGACTGTCTCGTTTTGTTTGCGTAGGACTCAGGGCAACTCCTTAATGTATGGGTGTCTGACCCACAGAGATTATATTTCAATGGCCAGTCACAGTCTTTGGTATTGTGGGCTGTACTTTTGCAGTTTCTGCAGAGGGTGGCGCTGCAGCTGGCTACAAGGTGAGATGAACAGCCACACTTCCTTCATGTCGTTGGTTGCCCAGCATAAAAATACATGGCCCCTAATTGGTTCCAGCTGGATGGTGGAAGGCAGGTGGTGAAGTCAATCAGCATTAACTTCTCTTCTCAGCCGCACATAAAAACGCCTGGTCCCAGTTCTAATTCCATCTTTGTACCTTTTTCCCTCATTTCCATGCTTTGTAAAAAAGGTACAATGAAAAGACAACCATGTGGCAAAAAATGTGAAAAAAACAACCACTATTTAATATATTAAATTGATGATAACAGATATTACACTTAACTTTAGCCAAACTGCCAGGTAGTGATAATTTGAATGGCTCAGCAGTAAAGAAGTGATTCACCACAGTTATTCTCATTGACCAGTGAAACATCACTTCCAGGCTACAATACACTGAGACCATCAAAGCCACACAAAAACATTACTTACACATCACTACATATACGTTTCAGGTATGTACTAAAGTTACCATAGCAATCTTTACATGATTTTTACCATTTATGACGTGACATGGTATGAAATCAACTTTTATTAATATTTACAAAACACTCCATTCAAGCAATTTTACTAGACAAGAGTCATCTTATGTGTGCTGATATCTTACTTATACAGTCTACGGCTGATATAAATTATAACAGCGCTGGGACTTTTAACTACGCATGTATTACTCCGCCTTACAGGTGTTCTGAGCCGTTAATTATTTAACCGTTTATTAGCCGACATGAAGGGTCGTCGTAACAAACTTTGCACCGCAAAATTGAACATTTAACCACAAATAGCTTTTGAGTTTAACTTTTAATGGTCAGAAAATGACGAGGGGATGGAAAGAAGCCTGAACACTTGACTGCAAATATCCAGGTTTGCTCATTTAACATCAGAAGACGACGCAACGTGCTGATGAAGCTGTTCCAACTCATCAGCATCAAACGTATTCATCCGAAGCGACGGTCAACAGGCTTATTTAACTGGTTCAAAATAAATGGAAAAACACAAATGTTACCTACATGATACACAGCAGCTGGTCTGTGGTAAAGTGTGGGCGAGTTAACACAACGTAACAAGCTAGTGTGCAGAAATGTGTTGGTGTTGTTTGGCAACAGTACAGTCTATTTGTATTGGCGGAGCCACATAAATCTGTTG